CGGTCGCCGCACATGCACTATCTCAAGATGAAAACTAACCTTGGATTTTTTTGGTTCAAAGATGCTCGCACAGGCGACCTCTTCTCCTGATTACGTCAATTACATCACCTACATCTTTTCCAATCCGCAAGCTGCTCCCCTAGCAGGAATTAACGAGAATGAATACCCTACTGTTCGATTTGCCGCTGCCGTAAACGTCAAGACGAAGATTGCCCTTGCTTACCGCACGATTTCCCCCCAAAGCTTGGCCTTCATCAAATCCGCGGCTCTGGTTACCCTACGCGACACCGACCGCAATGTCTCGAGGGCTGTCGGTAACATTATCACCGCAATGGTGCTTCATGGAGGCCTCTTGGCCTGGCCTGAGATTGTCAATGAACTCTTGACTACAGTCGCTAATGCCAATGGGGATGTTACTATGCCGGCTAGGGAAGCTGCAATGGATACCTTGTGCAAGGTCTGTGAGGACAACCGCAAGGTCTTGGACCGTGACTATCAGGGCCAACGCCCCCTGGATATCATTATTCCCAGCTTGCTACAATTCATTTCGGTTGACAGCTCGCGCATTCGGATTGCTTCTCTCAACGCCATCCACGTTTTCTTGCCATTTAAACCCCAGGCATTGACAGACTCGCTTGACCAGTTTCTTTCGCAGTTGTTCAGAATTGCTGGTGATGAAAACACCAGAGTCCGACAAATGGTGTGCCAGTCGTTCTCCCAACTTGTGGAAACTGCGCCGGAAAATTTGGCCCCGCATATGGAAGGATTGGTCAACTACATCATCATGCAACAACAATCTCAAGATGACCCAGAGCTTGCCCTTGATGCTGCTGAGTTCTGGATTGGTGCCGGAGAGCAAGAGCGGTTGCAGGCCGAGTTGGCCCCATATATGCACAAGATCATCCCAGTTCTTCTGCAAAACATGATCTACGACGAGGAGGAAGTGGCTCGACTGATGGACGAGCAAGATGATGCCGATGCCGAGGACCGTGCTGAAGATCTCAAGCCACAGTTTGCCAAATCGAAGGGTGATCGTCTGAACATGTCTAAGCCAGGCGACCAACCGGAATCCTCCCGCACCCTCGAGCAACACACAGAAGAGGGCGACGATGACTTAAGCGAAGGTGAAATTGAGGACTCGGAATTTGGAGATGACCCCTCGGGTAACTGGACTTTGCGCAAGTGCTCTGCTGCTGCGCTTGATGTTTTCTCCACAGTTTACCACCGTCCCGTCTTTGAAATCCTTCTGCCGTATCTGATGGAAACTCTACGCCATGAGCAGTGGCCGAACCGAGAGGCCGCTGTTCTCACACTGGGTGCAGTCGCGGACGGCTGTATGGATGCTATCACACCTCATCTCCCAGAATTAGTCCCTTACCTCATCTCTCTCCTGAATGATGACCAGCCCGTTGTGCGGCAAATCACTTGCTGGTGCTTGGCTCGCTATTCAGGTTGGGCGGCCCATCTCCGCGATCCAGCTCAGAAAGCTCAATTCTTTGAGCCCATGATGGAAGGTATACTCCATCGCATGTTGGACAATAACAAGAAGGTTCAAGAAGCTGCCGCGTCAGCCTTCGCTAGCCTGGAGGAGAAGTCAGAGGACAACCTGGCGCCCTACTGTGAGCCTATCTTGCGCCAATTTGTGGCGTGCTTCAGTAAGTACAAGGACCGAAACATGTACATCCTTTATGATTGTGTGCAGACGCTCGCCGAATGTGTAATGAGCGAGCTGGCGAGGCCGCATCTAATCGAGATCTTGATGCCTGCTCTCATCGGTCGCTACAACTACATCTCTGATGATTCCCGAGAGCTCTTCCCGTTGCTTGAATGCCTCGGATACATATCTGCAGCCTATGGCGATGCCTTTGCCCAATTCGCACCGCCTCTCTTCGGTCGCTGTATGAAGATCATCTATGGAAACTTGCAGGCTTCTATCCAGCCGACACACGCCGCGGCTGATGAGCCGGATAAGGACTTCCTTGTTACTAGCATTGACCTTCTCAGTGCAATCATTCAGGCCATCGACCCACAAAAGAGCGGCGAGCTTGTGAGCACTTCACAGCCATCTTTCTTCGAGCTCCTCCGCTACTGTATGGAGGATGAAAACTATGAAGTCCGCCAATCAACATACGCTTTACTGGGAGACTGCGCCATAAGCATTTTCCCTCACTTGGAGCCCTTCCTTCCCACCCTTATCCCGGTTTTGATAAAGCAGCTTGACTTGGACCTGATTCGCGATGACGATCGTCATACCGGTTTCAGTGTTTTGAACAATGCCTGTTGGTCGTGCGGCGAGATCGCCGTCCACGAGAATGTCACGCTTTCGCCCTATGCGGAGCAATTGTACCAAGGGCTCTTTACGATTATCACTAACGAGGAAATCATCGACTCGGTAAATGAAAACGCCGCGATGGCGTTGGGGCGACTGGGATTCTGCTGTGCGGACCAGATTGCGCCCCATTTGAGCGAGTGTTCCGGACCTTTCCTGAAGTCAATGGACAAGATTGATTTCACGCGTGAAAAAGCTTCCGCCTTCCTCGGGTTCAACCAGGTGGTGATGAAGAACCCGCACGCCATGGAGTCGAGCTTGCTCGAATACTTCCAGGCAATTGCCTCGTTCCCCGCCCGCTCGCTGGCACAGGAAGAGTACCGGGATATCCAGGTATCCTTCCAACAGGTAAGATCATTCCCCCCTCGGTTTTCAGGTCACATCCCACTAATCAAGATGTATCACTCTAGGTCCTCCAGGGATACAAGACCTTGATCCCTGACTTTAGCAACTTCCTTGGCCAGCTACCCCCGGCTGTGGCTCAGACACTGCGCACTGTTTACCAGGTATAAGCCGAGCACTTGGTATTCTCTGCTTAGACCTCGGTCACTAGGGTGTCGGTTGATAATTTTCCCTGTCTCAAATCGTACAGGAGTTAAGTTGGAGGGGAGGAAGGGTGGTCCCTGAGGGGACCAGTACATAGGGGGGTCAGCGGCCGGACTTTCACGTTAATAGAAAGAGGAGGGAGAAAGGGGGGCAAAATCATGGGAAGGAGCATCTGCGATTTAGCTTGTTTTTTTTTTTTCCCGTACATCTCATGATTGTAAAATGGGCACGCATAACCATTTTTGATTTCGATTTCGTTGACTTTGCCTTCTCGATTCTTATTTTGCATTTATTGTGCATAGTTACCATCAAGTCGGGGCTGGCTCATAGCTTGCTTTTCTTTGTCTTCTCAGCGCTGGTTTGGGGAGGTTTTTTTGCGTGGCATATTCATATCTCCTTTAGATAGATATCTAGATAGATCTTCATCGTCAATGAAGATCTCAACAACATTTCTAAAAGCCTGAAGAGTAAAGCTCTAATTCGGGTGGAAAGCATCTTGAAGCATTCTTTTTGGCGCCGTCCTATATGTCCCCTGCTATTTACAAGGCTTATGTAGTATGAAAGAGGTGAAAAATACTGTCCCACTGACTTCACTAATTATCGTTTCGTTGCCTCGTAAGATTTTATCCATTGCTCGCAAGCATCATGAAGGACTATCAGGGTTGTCCTTGAGAAGGCCGTTATGTTCGTATCGTTGTTGACCAAGTCCGTTGGTCTAGCATAGACCTAACATTGCTCCTTCCAGCTACCTAAATAGATACTACGAATTTCCTTCTCTTATCTACTTTAGTCACCCTATCTGGCTCTGGGAAAAAGCCGGACAAGTAGATCGCATGCTCTTGCCAGCGTATGCCACGCCAGTTCGGACCACATCTCTCTGTCTCTCACATCTCCCCAAGCACTACCTAGCTGGAAAATTAATCGCACATACCAAGATCAACTCGTGAAACCTTGGATGGAGTCGTGGATGAGGAAAAAGTAAGGGCAAAATTTAAAGACCCGTAGGGCCCTAGCAATCTCCGAATTCTTGTCATGACGACACAAACAACATACGCGGCCAGTACTTCGTTACCTACCATTTATGACTCAGTAGCAGATGTGCATCATCCCTTAGATCGCCAAACAACAGGGAAGAATCAAGACAGCACTGCTAATTATAACCCATCAAAGCCCTACAACATACACTCCAGGAAGCACAACATTCTATAACGAGATTACCGGCATACGGAGAGCAACGGAAAGAGAAATAGAACCAGAACCAGTAAGATAAGCCCAACCAAGCAACGGATGTCGCCTAACTGGGGCATTGCAACTAACTCGGCACCGAAAGCCCCAAGTCAACGCCCAACTCCCCAACAACCCACTGATTGGCTGGCCAGACCATGACCGCCCGAAACACCAAGACGCGAGCCTTTCCCTTAACTGCGATTTTTCACGAACCCCCCCATATTCTATATCCTATCGGCCCCACCTCATCTTACCCTGTGATTGAAATGCCGTCGATGACAGGCGTTGATATAGGGTGTGCCTACTGGTAGCGTACCGGGCGTCTGGTTCTTAGTGCGCCATTGGAAGCCCCAAGGCGTGGCCTGGCTTTGGTTCTGTTCGCCTTTTAGTCTAGAAGACCCAGGCTATGTCTTTTGCAGCTTGCAGATAGGAGTGCCTGGGGCTATTGTAGACTTATCCCCTGGTGGATTTTGACAAACTTCCTCAATCCGGTCGGTCTTGTTTGCTCTTTCGGTGAGGATTCCGGATTTCTGGTCAGGGGTGATTGATGCCCTACCCTAAATAGGTATCCTACGATCTGGGCCTTCTTTCGGGGGTTACAGAGTTGTAGTGCTTTCGGGGCCTTTGCTTTTAAGCGGGGACAATCATCCTCCCGGGGTGGATTTTTCAGCCTCGGCCGTATGATTCTATGTGGTGTTGTTCGGTCCACGTTCTGTGCCTCCCCCCCCCTCCCCCCTTCACGACCTGAGACAAGCCTGAATGGCGGATAATAGGAAGCCGGACCCTTCCAAGAAATCGATAGGAAACTTCCGGTCGAAAGCCAACGGTTCGATTTCCTTACCTATAATCACAATCTATATGCGAAGCAGGAACCAGAAAGCACTGATCCCTGTGCCACTTAGAAACATTCCATGTAACTCAGATGACCATCCACGTTTTTGATACAATGGCCCAGGTTCACCTTGCTTTCTTGAAAATTCCCTTCGCCATCATTGAGTTGCGCGCACAGCATGGGCTCGTTGTTGGGACCTTCTAGCTTGAAGTCAACATCGCGGGAACTTTTCGAGAAGTTGTGGGAACCCCAGGCCAATTTCCCTAGATTGGATTGAGGTCAGTTCATTTGGAATCAGATACGGGAGACACTTTGGGTCTGATTTCGGTTCTGGTGCTGGAAAGTGTATGTTGGACCAGCTGTTGAGAGAAACACCACGGAGACCAGAATCGAATCGAGAATTGGGATTGTTCATACCCTTGTTTGCCCCAAGGAATTCGTTCAGATCTAGTTCTGAATATCGAGGTTCCCCGGAGGGTCGTTGGCAGTAAGCAGTGAGGATGTGCTTATCCTTGATGTTGATGCCCTTGGATGACTCGTGGAAGCCCATCTTGGTGTGGGGTACTGGTGTAATATCAGGCGCAGTGGAAATCGCGCTTATGGTGCAACCTCTGTGAGGTCTGAATTGAGTTCACCAAAGAGGAACTTGGAAGGGTGGGTGTTGTATGTGCAGGTGGTCTTTTGTTTCTTTGTCCCGGTACTCGAGAACCGTCAGGCTATGTCGTACTGCATTAGGAGAAAGAGAAGGATAGAAGTAACCCGAAATTGAGGCTCCTGATATGGAGAAATGTCTTGCATGGATTTGTTGCCTCTAATGACATCGAAATGGTGTAGACTTCTACCGTGCTCATTTGGAATCGGGCAGATGGGTGGCTCTGCCATCATGCTTTTCTCATTATGACCCCCAAGAGAGGCATTAACTGTCGACCGCACACCCATGTCACATCTGAGCCGGAATGTCAGATTCCATGCCAGACTGCGAGGCGGTCTGTCTATACTAGGGTGTGATCCCCCCCCCGTGCACGGTGAACGGTCATCATGATCTCATATACGAACAAGTACTGCCAACCTCACATTCACATGTGTCAAGTGTCAGCGATTGGTCTCAGCGATCGGGCAATTAAGATCCACAAGATGATTTGGGTTGGGAAACAGAGTTGACGCTAAGGACTCTATTTGGGATGGTTCATCCCTCCACTCGTCCACGGTCAGGACTTACCTTGCCAGAAGCACAATTTGCCGATCTCTCGGTTTCCTATGGCCATGTCTTCTTTTTCAAAGAATCCTGCTTTTCTAGATCTTGACGTTCACCTGCGAGGCTCTTTCCGAGCTGAGCTTTACACATTACAGTGTAGAGATTTACGTGAATTGGAAATACGCAAAGCTGTACGGAGTACTCCGTACAGGGAGCCCTGGATAGCAGATCCAACGGCCTCATAGACCAGCAAGATTGTAAGGTCGACTATCACAGAGTCCCCACACAAGTCTAGGATGGCCCAAGTCTTGGCGATATAGAGTTGGGTAGCGTACTGCCCTTCCACGGGCTGTGTTTCTGAATTAGCGGTAAAACTGGGGTCTCCATGATTCGAATTTCTCTTTTGGAACTTGGATTCAAAGCTAGTTCGATTTGCTTACCATGGCTGACGGGCTTAAGATCACGGGGGATAGGATTGCGGTATTGCTGCATCTATTTTAACGGTGGACTAGAAGGAAAGGGTGCCCCGTGGAGGTCGCCAGATTAAACGATCGCTTACCAAGCATCTCCCGTCAATTCCGGCGATGTCCTGACGCCAAAAGGCAAGACTTTTTTTTTTTAGAAAAAAAAAAAAAAAAATCATCCCCCTTCAAAAGAGAAAGAAACTAAAAAGAATCAAGGTGATCACCGTCAAAAAGACATCTCGGGACTTTCGGCTTCCAATCTATACCACGTTTGGCCCGATGTCGCGACAAGCGAGACTCCTCGTTGCTGATTGGATACTCCTACTTGTTCCTTCACTTCTGCGGAGAAAATAGCGTCGCCCGAACATTTCCGGTGACCCGCACAGTATTCCTCTTTGGGCCATTAGATCTTTACCTTGAAAGATGTCCAAAGATGGGCAACTCCGTAGATCCAAGGGGAGGGAGGATGACCTAATCATCTTCTCTTTCCAACTATGGTGCCACGTGTGAGCTAAATCATCCTTGAGAGTAATAATCGTCATGGCTGCCGTAAAAGATGGAAAAGATGGTAGGACAGAGGTTCCCGTCCAGATCAGAAGGTGGGACACACCGACTTTAGACACACGTCTTGTGTTCCACGTCTGATCCCCAGAAAACGTGGTCTCCAGGCCCAATCTGGTGGTGTCACCTAAATCGGCATTTTACACTGGTACAGTTTCAGGGGAGTCACCTCTAGATTTGGAGGTAGATATACATGTGTAGATGCCGACATAGCCTTGAAATACATTGGGTTAGAGTGCATGATGCTAATCCAAGCGAGCGGCCCTTTTGCCTTTCAACAATCCTTTCTATGCTGGACTCAGGCCCCCTCGGCATTGCAGGAGTGAGGGCCATTCCACGAAGTACACTAGGCTCTCTGATTTTATTTGAATTTTTTTATTTTTATTTTTAACAGATGGAAAATGTTGTAGATGCTGAAACTTATCTCACTCCCTCTGATCCCTGTACAACAATACGGAGTACCCGGGGACTAGACCATTTGGAGGCTCCATTTCCCCCTTCAGACGTATTGCCGTCGCACCCTTTCAAGCTCACTAGACATGGTTTCCACGCTCCAGTCCAGTGGTAACTTCACCACAGAAGGAGAAATAGTAGTTCCAGCCTGGGGCAACAATCGCAGTAGGTCGATCGCCGTAGGAGTGTCAGGAGAAGAGATGCGTCAAAGGGAAAAATGAGAGATGGAGGCGGTGATCCCGAGAGTTTGGTCTCATCCCCCCTCCCCCTTGGTTGCGGACTAAACGTTCACATGTCATCTCCAATCCCCAGGTTCCAACTGGTGTACAAGTCTGGGACTCTTTTTTTCTTTTCTTTTTTCTTTTTCTTTTTCCTTTTTCTTTTTCCTTTTTCTTTTTTCTTTTTCTTTTTCCTTTTCTTTTTCTTTTTTTTTCGTTTTTCTTTTCTTTTTCTCACAAAAACCTAACCGAGTTGACTGTTTCCCGTGGACATTCGGTTGTGATTACCGAGTTCGGCGTTTAATCTCCCATCTGACTCACAGGCGGGTTCGGAGTGGAAATAGCCGATTTCCGCCTGTCAGGCTTAGCTTGAATCTCAGCCAGAGGGGAAGAGCCAGAGCGCCACTCCCAGTCCTCAATTCTCCGGACTCCTGGAATGGCGTTCAAGATAGCCCAGGGATTGACTCGTCTTCTTTCCTAACGGGGGTAACGGGGTCCTTAGACAGCGACCCACAATCCAGGGTCCGCCAAGATCGAAAGCCTTGCGAGGCAAAAAGGGTCGATCGGGCACTATATATCCCTTCATGAATGTTCTCTATTGGATCCTTTTTAAATAAAGTCTGGGGTTTCTTCGTAGGCCCCTGCGTTTTTATATTCTCTTGGCTGGAACTATATTACCTGGAACGCGGGATGGGATGTGGGAAATGTGAACCAGATTTGAATTCACCGATGGTCCCTTCTCATTTCTGTTTACCGTCTGGGAACCCTCTCTTATAAGCAATAGGGTGCTCTGTACTCCGTAGAACTGGGAACTATAGGATACCTTCCAAGGTTAGGGCTAAAAGGGTTCTTACCGAAAACCGGCCTACTTCAGTCATGTAGAGAAGAAAAGAATCCCCCATCGGGAACAGTGCAAAACAGACTACGGAGTACATCTCTACTAGAGACCATTCACTGCCTAATGGACACTCTAGCCTATGAAGGCAGCTGTGTCCGCTACCCATGTGGTCCACCTGAAATGGCCGAGTGCTATACTAGACGGTCATTTTGGGGGGGTATTTTTTCACTTGTTTTCACATTTATGTCATTTTATGTCATTTTATTTTCGGTATTATTTACATTTCCCTTGGCTTACTTGCCCCCTGTACCCAGAGGCTCAAAATCTCGATTGTCACTGGGAAATGAAAAAAGAGGTGAGAAATAATGGAAAAGTAAGAAATTGGAAATTTTATCAAGTCAGATCATGTCTTGCGCCTGACTACGAAGTGCTGGTTATACTCCTCTTTTTTTTTACCTCTTTTCCTTTTCAACATTTCCCTTTTAATCTCTCTCATCTCCATTTCTTCCATCTCTTCTTTCTCGTTTCTCTCTTTCTCTCTTTCTCTCTCTTTCAAGATATTCCCCCCCCCCCACGTGCGTAATTCAACCTATTCTTCGAACCTCAACAACCCACAAAGATCTTTCTGGGAGGCTTTTAGGAATCACGTCTCATTCATTCTTCTATAACTACAGGGCATACGTGCCCACCATCAACTCTTTCACAACCCTCATCTGTGGAGTCCTTGACTCCAGTCCTAGTTATCTCTCTCCGCACCCTCGAAAAGCCCAAAATGGTTGGTCCAGGCGGCGGTCCACCACGTAAGAGCCACACCAAATCCCGCAACGGCTGCAAAACATGCAAGAGAAGACATATTCGATGCGATGAGACTTTCCCGCAGTGGTATGTTCATCACACCACACCGGTATACCTTTACTAATTCCACCTAGCCGCAATTGTACAAAGCACAACTGCCGCTGTGACTACCGGGATGCGGCTACCACTCAAGGTGGTAGTCCCCCCGCGGCGCGCCGCGGTCCCGACCTCCTCACTTCGCCAGAGATCGAAATGGAGATAGATAATTGGCATCGCACGGGCGTGCCTCCGTATCCGGAGCTCTTGCAGTGTCCGCGATCAGGGTGGTCTGGCTTGTCACGGACGGATTTGCGCCTGATTCACCACATAATTGGGATTTCTATCGACTTGCATCGTCGGGGGTTGAGTGGTTGCACTGTGTGGGCGCAGAAGATGCCCAAGTGAGTACTCTGTCACGTTTGCTAAGGTTGATGATATGTGCTGACGGGGGATATGCTCTAGTTTCCTGGCGATTTCGTTGGGCAGCGACTTCGTTATGAGCTCTATCTTGAGCTTTTCGGCGTTTCATCTTGCTTTCCTTACGCAAGACCAGGAGACGAAGCAGTTGGCTTTCCGTTATAAAGTCACAGCCCTCCAAGGACTACAGACCGCTCTGGGATCCTTCTCGAAGGAGAACTGCGATGCCATTCTCTCAGCTTCTGTTCTTTTGTCCTGGCAGGCTACAGACCAGTGAGTGTTTTAGATCGGCTCCCTTGAAAAATTCCAACTGACAACAAAACAGGCAAAGTTGGGCATCTTTGCAACACGGCATCTCCAGCGTCCTAGAATCCATGCATCCATTTTGGAAGCAAGAATCGGATGTTGCGCAGTTGATCGAGAACCAACGAGCATTGAGCACGACAGATCTTTCAATGGCCGGGGTTTACCAACCCCTCGACGAAGACATGGTATATCTAGATCAAACGATCCAGGCCCTACGAATGGCACAAAAGCGTACTTCCCATAACCTTGAGCACTCTCAACGCTTAGGAGAACTCATCGAATTCATCCAGCAATTTCGGGACGACTTCCCCAACCAAACAGCCGAACAATCATTCGAAAGCATTCAAACCCTCCGCCGCTGGCTTTTCTGGCTCCCACCATCCATGCTCCGAAATAGCGAATCGGAGATCAACACCCTCCCAATACTCGCCCAATTCTTCGCCGTCGGCATCTCTCTCGATCGCTTCTTCCCAGAGCTAGGCGGTGCATACTTAGGCGCCCCATCCATCAGTCCCATCGAAGAGATGCACCGCATAATAGCTACCCACAACGCCGCAGACCCTTTCAACACCGAGCTGCGTCTAGCCTTAGAACTCATGAACCTGCCTCGCAGTATCGTTTCCCGCTATCGCTACCGCCTCCCCCTCCCCTGGTCCCCCCGCTCATCAGTCGACCACTACTCTCCGGGCCCACCCAGCCCTTTCCATCACAATATACACGAGTACCCGCTCGTCGCCTCTTCCTCGCCCGCTTCCGCCTCGCCTTCTTACGCAGCTTATACCCCACCCTTGCAATCTCCTCCCACCGCTACTCTTACCAACTCTGCCTTCCCCATTCAAGACGGTTATGTCTCCGCCGCACCCTCACATTCTCTATACCCACCCTCCCCACAGCTCCTCGGTAACCACGATGTGCACCTCGGTCTCTCGGATATGGGTCATGGCCATGCCCACTCTCATCATGCTTCCATTCCTCATTCAGCGGCTTACACCCCGCCGTATGGTGGCGATGTGCTGTGTGCCGGCTTGCCACGTGTGGATGGCACACTCGGTCTTAACTTGGAGGTCTATCCACAAACACATCCGTTTGAAATGCCGGGCTTGGCAGCTCCTACTTCACTTTGGACTTGACTGCCAGGCTGTGTTGAGCCATCTGCACTTGCAAAATAGGCCATAATCGACAACCAGCATGGGAAACTATGGACTACTTCCCCGAGCGGGGTTGATCAGCCGGGTTCTGGCCATTAGCTACTAGAAGGGAATTGGAAGATATCGTTTCTTCCATTTCCCCAAAATGGGAGGGCTACGGAGTTGTGTCCTACTAGAACTTGGATCTGGTGAACATGTGCTTTTCTGGTCATTATGCGCGAGTGATTTGTTTTCACCACTCGACTTTATCCTTATTTATTCGGACTTGTCATTTCTGTTGAGCATGAGCGTTCATGTTTGATCTTGTGTCCGATTTTATGCTTGGTTTGGATTTATACTCGCCTGCAGTTGTCAGCTGGAGGCGGTTGACTCGAACTGATATTTTGACATTGATACAGATACCCTGATTATAGTAAATCTTCTGTTCATCTGACTTGGGAGTGCGTTTATCTGTGTTGAGCATTGTGCCTTTTCGATATTCGGAACTGAAGCCCCAGAACTATAGCCATCCAGCCATCACGAAAAACAGACCTCAAAACTCGCGACAGAACGAGGAATCATTCCTTCATCTCCGTAACATGCCCACATCTAAAGATAGAAACCCCTCCCAACACTCCTCATAAACAAAGAATGCACCTGCACTTGCACGTCACGCATATCGAGTTACAGGTACCACCCATCCCTCGAAGGCAGCCACCGGTAACCATCTTCATGCACCCCATCCTAAGAATTGACAAAAACGAACCAACTCCAAACCATGGGACCAATCTTAAGGGAATTTAGACTACAGATCCACTTCTCTGATTGGTACCCCACCGGCCACTTTTCCCCAGACCTCGTATTCGGCCGCTTCTCGAGATCTGTCCGAATGGGGTAGTGTATCCCCGAGCTAGCACCGATTTGGCTTCGCTAAGGGCTAGGGGATATCGGCATATCGAGTGTAAAGTATGAGTGTTGTAGGGTGTGATGGCTGATTCTGGAGATCAATTCTTACCGTACTCTGTCTCCTTCATGCATGGTCAGGATGACCGCGTGGTATGACATAATCGTTTTGTAGTGGCTGTAGCCCTATCTATCAAGCGTTGTCGATTTTTGGTAGACGGGTTGGAAGGTTTTTACATTTCTTCACTCAACTCTAGGTTCTTCTGGAATATAGTGGGTTTAGTTCGAGTGTTGTTATTATAATTTTATTTCTACCATGGCGGTTGGATCATCACGACACGATGCGCTGTGTTGTTGTCAGAGGTGGAGATTTGATGTCAAAATTGAAGATTCGCGTCTTCGATGGAACTCTTCGTCATGGTCATTGCATTAGCAGGAGTTTCAATGCCACTGAGTTCTGTTTTCTAATTGCTTCTTGCATGCCGTTCTAATGTCTACTAGAAAATCAAAGCGACCCTCTCTACATTATTGTGGACACACACGTGACTTGAGGCTATCACGCCTGCTTCACGTGAGAATGACATAACCGCATTTCCCGTTTGGGGAAGAAAGTAACTTCCACATCGACAACACAACACCCTCCATTCAATCACCCTTAGAATCCATCACAGACAGTCAAGATGGGTGATGTAGGCGGCTGGAGCACCATCGAGTCAGATGAGGTACTATCACTCCCAAGATCTACCCGAGCAGCATAGTAACGCAAGCTAGGGTCTCTTCACCTCTTTGATCGAGACACTCGGAGTTAAAGACACCCAATTTGAAGAACTCATCTCCCTAGATGCAGATACAATACGGTCATTAGGGTAAGCCAAATGACGCTCTAACCCCGTAATTGCACCACGACCAACCCCCCCCCCCCCCCCTCCACGAAAATCCCCATAACCAAAGCTCACCCCAAACCACCCAAACAGCCCAGTCTACGGCGTAATCTTCCTCTTCAAATGGACGCGCGAAGCCGCCGGCGCACGCGCTGAAGCTCCCCTCGACGGAACTTACGACCAAACCGCCACCGACAACAATCTCTTTTTCGCGGCGCAGACAATCCAAAACGCCTGCGGCACACAAGCCATCCTCTCCGTCATCCTCAATCACGACAACCCGCCTGCGCCACAGCCAGCAATTGAGCTCGGCGAAGAACTGCGCTCCTTCAAAGAATTCACAACGGGGTTCCCGCCCGAGCTACGCGGCGAAGCGCTCTCGAACTCGGAAGCGATCCGGAGCGCGCACAACAGCTTTGCGCGGTCCAGCCCTTTCGCCGATGAGACGGCGCGGCCGCAGGACGACGAAAAGGGCGCGGATGTTTACCACTTCATTGCCTACACGCCTGTCAATGGGACGCTGTATGAGCTTGATGGACTGCAACCGTATCCCATTAGCCATGGGGCGTGTGGTACTGCGGAGTTCCCTGAGAAGGTGATTGAGGTTTTGCAGAGGCGCATCGCGCGGTACCCGCCTGGGGAGACGCATTTTAATCTCATGGCCGCCGTGAGGGATCCGAGGGCGAGGGCGAGGGAGATTGGGGATGTGGAGACGCTTGAGAGGGAGGAGAGGAAGAGGGCTGCGTGGCAGTGGGAGAATACGCTGAGACGGTGCAATTTCGTTGGGTTTATTGGGGAGGTCATCAAGGGGGTTGCTGGGGTTAAGGAGAAGGATCCTGAAGGGAAGGCTTATGGGGAGTGGGTTGAGGGTGCGAAGAGGGAGACGATGAAGAAACTTGAGATGCGTCGGTAGAAATTTGGGCGTCAGTGGGCCCTTTCGTTTCTACTTCTGATTTTTCTACAACTTCAGATACCCTTTTTGTGATGTTAGGATGATCAAAATGAAACAAGACAAGACATGGTATTCATGGTATTCAATAATAATGTTGAACCCCCAACGCTGTAGTGGAGTAGATACATGTAGGAGTGACAGATCACCGATTTGGCGCCGTGGTATATACTGGCGTCCACATTGCAAATCAGGATGATGTGTATGAACAAGTCTCCGTCGTGGAGATTATCGTTAATCCTTCTTCTAGTCTCAATAGGCGACAAGCCGCGACTTGATATGTTCCAAGAGAGGCGCAGGCAAGTCCTCTGGTTTGATCAAATTCAGTGACAGCAAATCACCCCAGAAGAACATGACTCGGTCCTGTGCGTAAGCCAGGTAGTCAAAGTCCCCGTCGTCTTCTTCATCAATATCCGCATCCACAGGCGGTGACTTCGTGTCGCCGGCATTGTCGTCTTTGCTTGGCCCGTTGCGAGCAGCAAGCATCTCGGCAATACCTTCTTCCATGCCAGGCACCTTGGCCTGGACGATACCCCAAGCTACCCACTGCGCAGAGTTCATAGCCCGCCACATCCGGGTCTGGTGCATGAGCAATCGCACCTCTGCATCAAGCTCAGCCTCCTTGAACTGCTCAGTTTGCGAAAGCCGAGAGCTGGGTCTGTCTGACACATCGTCCAAGTCCAGTGGCGCCACTGCAACAGGAGCACGAGCGCGAATGGTCGGCGAGGCTAGAGGTGAAATTGGTCCACCGGCGCTGGCAGGTTGGTGGGTAAGATAGGTTGCCACGAAGTTGTACTGCTGCTCCGATGTCGGGTAGTTGCGGTTGTTGCAAGCCCATGAGCGCTCTTCGTCGTGGTAGTTGTAGCACCACTCAGTCTGTTGCAGTTAGCATCTATTGAGATTGGCGATTGGGTTGGTGGACTTTACAAAGTGGTTGGCGAACTCGAGTCCACGTGTATTGGCCGAAGAATACTCAAAGTCGATGACAACCAGCTGTTTGTGTTCATTTGCAGGTAAAAGCAGTGGTGACTCGGTGGCCGGCTCCATGCGAAGTAGATTGCCATATTGAGTCTAGCAAAACATGTCAATCACACAATTGAGAAAGGCGCACGAGATGGAAACTTACATCATTGTGTGCAAAGACTAATTGTCGCTTGATCTCGGCAGTTCCACCAGAGCTGGCAATCAGCCAACGTCGGTAGTTATCCACGGCTTTGCGGAACACGTCCCATGTTACACCGCAGACATAGCCGCGGCGACGCCATGGTTCCAATGCAGCTTTGGCATCGTTTTGAGGGGATTGGAGTTCATTATCCAGCCAGGTCGTCACTTGCTCGCAACGTTCCACCCATTTATCCCAGTTCTTGAAGATCATAGGTCCACCTTCGCGTTCTTCTTCAAGAAGTTCAACGCCATCATGCAATTCTCGCATCCGCTTGGCCACCTGCCTCGCCGTTTCGGGCATTCGCAGCTCTCTGGGGGTGAGTGGGCGAGCCTCAAAGTACTCTTCGAATCGGCCATTGCGGAAAGTTCCGAGAATGCGTGGACCGATATTCTTCTTTCCGAGGCGACGCAGAATTTGCAGCTCATTCTCTCGGTCGATTAGATGACCGACTTGCGGACCGTAGATACGCAAGAGAAGCTTCCTGTAAATCTAGTTAGATATGCATCCAAAGTAGGGAAGGCATTTCGTTGCTTACGGTGGAGGCTTCCTTGACACCAAATTGTTACCATCGGTCTTCGGAGGTGGCAGATTCTTCGGTGGTTCAACGACATATACGGCGTTCGTGAGAGCACCGCTGAGTCTGACCACTTCAATCTCTGCTGCCAAATCCGCGGGAACCCTACGCCAGCCCTTCAGTTGCAGAGTGTGCACAAGACGCACGATCTCGGACTTGAAAATGATCCAAGCCTCTGCATCCTTTGCTTGTTTCACACTCGCACTGGAGTCGGCGATTTCTTCTACTGCCGCGCCACCGGTGTAGGCAAGCGTCTTTGTATTATCAAGGAAAGCTTCCACGCTTGGCGGGGCGCCGTCGACATCTGTGAGTTCAGAATCGGATGCCGATCCTCTTCGTAGACCTCTAAGACGGTGTCGAGACTGCCGTTTGACAGGTTGTTTGTGGTGCAACCCCATTGCACTTCTAGGTCGGACAGTCGCATGTTGGAGGAGGATTTTTTCCAGTTTCTCCAGGGAAAAGGTGCTCTCGGAGGTGTTCGAGGTGTCCGAGCTGAGTCTTTTTAAAACACCAACTTCTTCGGCTGACTCGTTTTCGTGTGTTGCATGGGGGGTTGCTTCAGCTTTCCGTGCTTTACGATTCTGTCGTCTGGTTTTCTCATGGTGAAGCCATTCGTATACTTGGTGGAATAGACCCTGCTGGGGATCTTCCTCGGGCCTGGTAGATTGCTCTTGGTCCTCGCGATGCTTGAACCCCGAGTGATCTTCTAGAGAAGGCATGGTGAATGATGGTTGCGCAATGGGCTTTGGGGCACGTGCTCTCGATCCTGTCTCAGATGTATTGCACCGGGAAGCTGGCAACAGCTCCACTTGCGTGCAAGGACTTGGTCAAAGAGTTATCCAACCCCGTTGCCACAGTGGATGAGTCTGTTGGGAATTAGTTTGAGGTTAAGGAAGACGAGTGATTCGAATGGGGTGCTGGGGCGAGAGTCGAGTCGCCTCCGAGACGGAATTACGAGCCAGGGGACAACGTGTACTTATATGGTAGACACACGGCGATACAGTGGATTCCTTATCTACACGAGAATCGCACAAGGAACGTGCTAGAAAGGAGACGAAGCCTACCTGAATTTTGAAGAATGGTATCTTCACGTGTAAGCCAAGATACGGGGGCTCAATGGGCTTATCTCTTTGAGCACGCGACCAGTTGCGAAAGCTTTTCCTAGCCAAAAAGTGCCCGGTCGAAAGAATCGTTTTAATTCCAAGACAAAAAGGGGAGACCGAGGTGGGGGAAAAAATAATTGGACCCCCTTTAAACCAGTGGACGGGGACAAGCGAACGGAAACGTCCCAGCGGTCAACTTGGATCCCCTTATCCACACATCCCAAATGACGATATCTGGGGAAATGGGTGCCAAAAAGAGCTTTCGGAGTAAGTGTTGAAGCAGGCACACGGAAAAGAAAATCCTGATCTAATCTGTGATGGTGGGGGAAATATAAGTTCTAAAAAAAAGTGGCGAAGAGAAAAAAAATTAAGTTGGATGCTTATCGCTCAGGTGACTGTTTTCGGCCTGGCTAATCGGGCAGACACCGTAGCATTTCGTGGGGTGAAGCTTCATTTAAGTCCCGGAACATCCGCACCACTCAAGGCGTCATACTCAAATTGCTGGAGGATTGGTGGTCATAGATTCGCCATCAGAACTAGGAGTTAGAGAGAACACTGCATGGTTAGGAAGCCGAGAAGCGATATGGTTCAATACCACAGGCGCTCATGACTTTCTGTCACCTGTGGGTGAACTGGAAGGAGCATTGAAGCTTCTATTTGGCAGCTCCGGTTTACTCCTGGGAAATGGTGGAGTCAAACCAGTACGGATTACAATGCTGGAAAATCGGCATTTTCAGATTCTCAGACTCCTTGGAGCATCAAGAATGACAAGAAGGTAGGAAGGTTGGATGAATCAGATGCGCATCAGAGAGGGGAAGTTTGGTAAAATTACCGTATCAAGTGGTCAACGATAATCCCAGTTTGGCTGCCTTCACAATTACATGGAAAGAGATAGGCATTGAGGAAATAACTTATAGCATGGCTTCCACCATTCAAGGTTTTCTTCAGGATTATTCTTATACTGTATTGCTCAGATTTATGGTACATTGAACTTGGACAGGATCAAACGTTGCCGTCAGTCAACCTCAACAAGATTCGACCAAAATGAGTAGAACGGTGGGCATGTGAGAAGAGAGACCTTTGTTGCGCTCATCTACGAAGATCGCGGGGATTGGCTTGCATGATACGTGAGTGGTGGTCTTCTAGGGAAGGTATTTGGGCGTCCCAACTGTAGGCGTTGGGAAAATACTCATGTATCTGACTACGAGGCTCATCCTCTAGAGACCATCTTATTAAAGCCCAGCTGAGCACAGAATGTACACCACCTATACACAGTACTCTGCCGTACAATGTCCAAGACTGCCGAGATTCCGTGGCTCACGTCCGCAGATCGAGATCGGCTACGCCGATCACTCTTCACGCCAAGCAGGCGGAACTTGAAATCCAGTCCATGTGGAGGAACTGAGTGAAACATGATCACTAATATCTGATGGACCGGGGGTTTAGGTCCCGAAGCTATAATTAGGGCCCTTTGTTTCGTCAGTGGTGCTATATCACAAACAAAATGTAGCACATGTTCTCCCACTTTACATATATAAAAAAAACCCCCCCGCTACTCTCACCCACTTGTTGATATTGAAAATCGTTCATCTACAATTCTCCCTCTTTTCAATCATCATTGAATCGCCAAATTCTCCAAATGAAGTTTACTACGGCAATCATCGCTTCCCTGGTGGGAACTAGCACCGCCTTGTTTAGCAAGGACCAGCGTATGCATTTTCTATACGCATCTGCAAGGTTTTATAACTAACAACTCCTTCTTTCCAATCACTTAGCATGGGGCAAACGTGATTACGCCTGCGTAAACGTCTACCAAGGCATCCCCGACAACTCGACCGTCTCCGCCGGCCAGACCGTACGTGTCCACTTCGACCGTCAGCCCACAGGACGCTGCCCAGACCCATTGAGCCAGTACCCTGGCAGCGACTACGGCGTGTGGCTGTACAACAACCCCGTGCGCAAGCTGGATACCATATCCTTCGACAAGTCTATCAAGATCACGGGGGGTATCAAGGAGAAGGCGGGTCTTGTTGATGTCACCATCCCAAAGGACTTGCCTCAAGTCAAGGATGGCTCACTTTGGTATTTGCGGATTGACACTTCTCTCTCAACTGCACCACAGGCAAGTTTCTTTCCTCTTCATTTTGGTTCTTTTTTGAGGGGTTGGGACTACGTACTTCCAGGCGGTGTTTATCTTGGCTTTTTATTTGATTCCAGGGGCTAATCAATACTATGCAGATGCCCTCCTTGTTTAATGCCGCTGGGCCATTTACAGTTGTTCGTGCATAGACTACTGCAGCTTGATTTGGAACTTGGTTGAAGAGTAGGGATGATCCTTATGCGTGTAACGATAGTCATATCCCTACCAGATCTTTACCCAGTACGACAGCACAGACAAATTGGAGCATGTGTATATAGATATAGGCTTTGAGCTCCTGGCTGATGAGAATCGTTCAAGCTTCATTGCCAAGATACCATGAATAGCTTGGTTCTTAGGCACCAGGAGATGACCATACAGGATTCCGTGACGTCATAAAATCAGCATCTCACATCTAATCACGGAAGGAGACACTGAACACCCTGTAGCCACTAGTAGGTTTAGTCTGGCTACCTTCAGCCTTCAAGTTTCCGTGCTTGTCAATATCAATGTACCCCCCTGTCTCCACAAACTGCATGGTGTAGCCAAGGCCTCCACCCAAGAAGGTGAAATGTATTTGAGCTGCATTTGAACTCTGGCTTTGGGGAAGCAACGCACCATCGAGACCAATCCATCGACCATCCAGTGCGCTGGAAACGGTAAATTTCTGACTTTCCTCGTCATTGTTGTAGTGGATCACCCACCGCTGGGCTTTGTTGCTGTGCTCAGAGCTTGTACAGCCAGACACGAGGCGGTTGCCTCTGGCTGGATTTGTGATGCCTGCTTCATTCTTTTCAAAGACTAGGTATCGGCCCTCGGTGAGGTAGCCGACTACCTCTTTAAACCCCTCTTCGAACCATAGAGTATTGACATCTGTTGCGTTGCTCTGTTCTCCATATGGAACATCAGGACGTGTTTGTTTGTGACGAGACTGGCAGTTAGATGTGCCAGTATACTCGCCTTTTTCGTTCATGTCCACAGTTCCAGCATCGGGAAGATTTGGGAGAGAGTAGTCTGGGTGATTCAAATCAAGCGCGTTGACTAGATTAGACATGTGCTTGCGTCGCCAGGAAACCATCTGATCGGTTGTAATATTTTTGTACCCCCGCGCTGTCAGCCATTCCTCAACAAAGAGAATTTGAGAGTTGTGATCTGCACGCTCAGTGAACACACGGTTTCCTCTGGTCCAGGGAGAGATCATGTAGAATGGTACTCGGAAACCAGGCCCCACAAAGAGATCCGAGAACATACCTAGGGGATCCTGCATCCAGTCTCCCGGGGTGTCCTTAGGCGAGTGGAAGGGGGTGACATGGTCGCCGAAGCCACCGGTCTCATCGAAGCTGATCATCAGAAGCGTTGAGTTGTACTTTGGGCTACTGGTGACGGCGTCGACGATCTTCTTCTGAAGCCAGCCTCCATCCTTTGGCATGTATGGCGGATGCTCAGACAGCTCAGACGGGCCAACAATAAAGCTGACCTCGGGCAATGTGCCGTTGGCGGCAGCCTGATAGAAGAACTCAAGACCGACAAAGGACATACCCTTTTTGGCCAAAGGACTATCTTTCGCGGCAGTTTGAAATTGCTGGAACCAAGCTAGAGGGTTATCGTCGAAGTTGTTTGTGTCTTGGAAGAGTTGCCACGAGACCCCTGCCTCTTCGTAAAAGTCATAGACGGTCTTCCACTTGAGTGGATAGCAGTTGATACCGCGGTCATCACATCCTGTGTAGTTTTGGTCAGGTCATGAAATAGCCGAAAACAAGATTGTCTGGAGGGGCGGGAAGATAAACAGAAGATTTAGCTGACATGACATACCTGGTACCTCATTGTTGTCAATGTAGACACCTCCCTGGTCTTTGCCCTGAGGACTACCAGGAACATTGATGGAACCGCTGACCAAAGTCACTCGATTCGGATTTGTGGCAGTGATTTGACTTTCCTATTTTGCAAATCAGTCTCTAATAATTTTTTTGGAATTGAGTCTGGCCACGTACCTGATACATGTCTCCCGACGTCCAACCTTCAGCAATAGCAAATTGAACTGGAATATCTTGCCGCTTCAGGTAGCCCCAACTCCAGGGTGTGTTTTTAGCCACCCAGTGGTTGTTCAATCCGTTGTTTAGAGACTGTTGATTCTCCTCGTACCCGTTGCTACCCGCGACCATGCACTGAATAGCGTCATGCCAGTCGCCACCTTGATATCCAAGATACCAGGGTAACAAAGTCTTGGTTTTGTTTGACTGGGCCGGCTCGACTAGTCTGACGCGGGATGTCAGAACCAATGTCTTCCCTCAGAACTCCAGTGCCCGGCACTTACTGATGCCAAACCGAGTTTCCGTCGGAGTTGACCTGAACATTGGGATCATTGAAGCCCCGAACTCCAGGCATAGTGCCAAAGTACTGCGATTTGATGAGCATGGCGTAAAAGTTTCATAGCGCAGGCGAACCGTACTGTGTCCCACGAGCGGTTTTCCTGCATGAAGATGACGACATGTTCGATGTCGCTTAAAGATCCACCGAAAACGAGCCCAGCTTCAAGAAGTACCGCAATAGTGATACACTTCGGCAATTTGAAGGCCATGATTCAGTGATTGTAGAGGGAATAAGGGGAAAGAATTCAACCGAGAGAAGATCCCGCTACTTATGTACACCCCAACTAAGCATGCAGGTTGCGGAGAGAAGTGGGTGAAGAGTACTGCCCGTGCATGTACTTTTGGGTGCTCCCCTCCGCCCTAACAAGCTTTGGGACTTGGTTTCACCTGTAGGCGCTGTTCCCTACGCTGTTCCCTCATGACAGCTCCAGACGGTTCAAGGAAAGAACGAATCGGAATATGGGGATTCAAATACAGGGATGGGCTGGCATTCTTGGTGCGGCATGGCGCCAATCATGCACAATTGAATTATGCAAGTCCGTATGTTGTAAACAGCAGGTTGTAGGAGAGAAGGTACATAAATGGTACATTCAATGCTGTTGATCCAATCTGATATGCGGGTGTCTCCACGTGAATTTTCTGTTCCTGTTCCATGGTTCGATCAAGGCCAAACAGGAACACACTTTCGGCAGGAACGATCTTGTACACTTTTGGCTTAGTCGAGGGTGCCACAGGTACTTTAGTGCCTGCTTGATTGATTAAATGTGTATGGGATAGATGCACTTGGACATCTAATTCGATTATCTATCTTCGCTCTGATTGATCAAGAAGGGCACGTGTATTTGTATGTCTTTTTCTAAGGTTGCATGTTGACCCCTTTGGAAGCAGGGGTGGCATGATGGAATGTTCTTTCCTCTGGCCATCACTTGGTTTTTGACCTTTAAATATCTGATTTGCTTAGATTTTAACGGGAAATTCTCTTTGAGGTTGCTTTGAACTGTATAGAGGCAGTACGGTCGGGGTCGGAAAACTGTCCCCAGTCCAGAACTGCTGGCCCTTCGACCAATGCCGGCGCTGTCACAGCGGCCATGGCCGATTGTGGGCTGCTCATTGGCAATTTGCTTGTTGATCGCATTAATTTATCTGCTTCGGTCATCCACCTTTCTCGTGCCCTTGGTTTTACCTGGGCAGCATCATCAAACCCTTCAAGAAAATGAGGCCATGACTGTGCGACCGCGGATAGAACTTCACCCGCAGGATCATGTGTACCGGGCGCCGGTGACTCAATATTTGTATTGGCGTGTGACCTCAGAATTTCGCAGGCCAGATGGTGTATTGAAGCGGGTCTATCTCATCAACGGTTAGTTGAAGGAACAGATTGGTATAACGGTTGTCGATCTGACCGGAGGATATCAAACTAGGCCTGTTCCCTGGACCAACGGTGGAGGCTCGCTCTGGTGACACCTTGATCATTACTGTGACCAATGCTTTGTCAGGTGATCTGATTGCTATTCACTGGCACGGCCTTCATGTGGCCAGTAAGCGTCTGCCTCGTTCAAACCTCGATTCAAAGCATTGAAGCTAACTCACTTAGACGCCATGGATGGTGCAGTGGGGATTTCACAGTGCCCCGTACCTTCTGGGGGAGAGTTTGTTTACAACTTGACAATTCCTTCCGATCAGAGTGGTACTTTTTGGTACCATGCCCATTCGGGGGTTTCGCAGGCGGATGGCCTCTATGGTGGGCTAGTCGTCCACAAGCCAGCATCCAGATCGACCGTTCGGGGCTTATTACCCCAGAGGTATGATGACCCTTACCGTTACACTTATGACCGGGAACTTTTGCTACTCATTGGAGACTGGTACCATCGCCCTGCAGGTGATGTTCTTGAATGGTATATGGACCCAGGGAATTTTGGGAACGAAGTGAGTTCAGAAGTGTGGCCACAGAGATTGGAGAGTGCCATCTGATACTGGTATTAGCCTGTTCCTGATTCCTTGCTCATTAATGGGGCAGGTCATTTTGACTGTACGATGGCGGTGTCTGCTAGACCAGTGGACTGCATTGATCAGCAGCTGAATAGTTCATTTATCGACCTCGATCCCTACACGACATGTCGAGTTCGCGTAGTCAACACAGGGTATTCCACAGGATTATCAAAGCCAAATAAGTTACTAGCTGACCAGTTGACAGAGCTCTAGCTGGGTTGAGTCTCGTTTTCGACAACCATCTCCTAGATTTGCTTCAGGTTGACAGCGTCGATGCAGCACGCTCCAACAAGACAAATATAAATTCCATCGGTATCCTCTTCCCTGGACAACGCATGGACTTTGTTCTTCGGCCACTTTTACCGATCTCCGAAAATCAGTCACACATGAGGGTTCAGTTAGATCAAGAGTATGAAACGATCCAGCGTCATGGTAGCTATCGGGTGGTTGCTAATATCACACCAGTTCCTTCAATTACGCTAACCCGGCATTGACCCCAGATCAAACCTTCCCCATCAACTATCGTTCCAATGCCGTTGAGGGACGTCCGCTCAAGGCCCACCATCTCAACATCGGAGAAGCACCATCTGCATCTTCTATTCTCCGTGCCATTCCCCCCACTGCGCAACAAACCCACGTGGTGTATACGAAGATTCAAAAGATGGCCCGGTTTTCCAACAAGCCATTCGGTTACTTCAACCAAACTACCTGGAAGCCCCAGCAAGATCCACCTATTCCATTAGCATCACTACCACGAACCAAATGGGACGCAAACCAATTTGCAATACCTACAGGGCCGGAGCCTGCATGGATAGATCTAGTAATCAACAATCTAGACGAAGGATCCCACCCTTTCCATATGGTAAGAGCCCTTACCTGGTGGGGACTATCCACTAATTAATATCCACTTCAGCACGGACACCACTTCTACGTACTCGCAGTGCACCAAGCCGAATTTGGTTGGGGCTCTTACAATCCTTTCATTGACAAAATCCCACCCCACCTAAAATCTGACGCAGATGCGTGGAGAAATGGCACAGATGACGCCCAGACCCTCAATCGTGGTTATAGTTCCGGTTTTTACGACATCTCCCGGGCTGCTTTCCGTGACACAGTCCAGATCCCAAGTCGCGGCTATGCCGTTCTCCGTTTCCGGGCGGATAACCCCGGGGTTTGGCTTTTTCATTGCCATATGCTCTGGCATTCGGCGACGGGCATGGTCATGTTGATCGATGTGCAGGGGGACCCGGCGGGATTAGTTGCGCATGCTGGCAATGGAGAATTATGCCCTGCTTCTTGAAATGTATTTTGAATATCGTTGCGCCTGTGGACTAGCCAAATTATAATCACCTACACTCCAGACTCTAACTTCTCATCTGTTCTAGATAACTTTGGGAACTTTTGCCGAACCAACTCTAGGCCCGAAGTGGAAATTATCGGAGATGAGCGACGATCGTCAGGGGTACGGCAAGGAGATGGCTCACAGCCTATTGGAAAAGAGGTCTCGTGTCAAAGCCAGTCAATTTTGGGACGATGTTGACAATTTTGAAAGGCTCAATTGGCGCCTCCTCGCTTGTTAGTACTCGGATAGCCTCGAGATGACCTTGGATCACATTGTGATTTGAAGCCCCCAGGGCCCTAGACCATGGATGGGTTCAGTCAAGATCGACAGACACTATGAAAACAACAATGAGGCCTAACTTCCCGGCAGTTTAATTGTACCGTGCACTGCGTACAAAGTACTTTGTACCTACATTCTTGATCCCTGGACCCACCGGCCCCGATAGGATAGCCCCCCTCCCAATGGCCCGCGTTCGGGTTTTCGTGTTTTGCGACTACAATTTCTCCTTTCTTTTTCCCCCATGGGTCGAAATTTGGGGAGATAGTATCTTTCCGGTTGGCCAGAGTACTACTCCCTCAAGAACTACTCCCTCAAGATGCAGCCGGCTCGTTGTGTTCGGTCTTGGGTGAAGTCCCTACAGCTCGGCCTTGTGAGCATGACGGAGGCCATTCTCTCAGGGACATGGAGGGAACAACAATACCAGCTCCTTCGGGGGGCTCGACGGAATTCTCAATGCTATAACTTCCAAAAGACGAAGAGAACTTTTACTATTCCTGGGCTGGCAATAGCGGCTATGTTGATCCTTTGGTATGTTCTCTCGCATCCACGGCTTGATTTGAACGCCTTCGATGAACGTGCTTGCCAACATCCAGTCGCTCGACTTGCTTTTGATGCCAAGCTGACGTTCAACAAAATGTTGGGTCACCAGTCGAAGTCATTGGACGAGGCAGTGGCGGAGTATCAACGACGATATAAGATGCCACCACCCCCCCACTTCGACGAATGGTATGCGTTTGCAATGTCACGAAACACAGTCTTGATCGATGAATTCGATACGATATATCATGCTTTGCTGCCCTTCTGGGGAGTTGCACCCGGCACGATTCGTTCTCGCGTGAGAGAGGATCTTGGATACCAAAATCACGTCATGGGCATTGCCATTCGCGAGGGCAGAGCGATTCATCTGGGCAATGGCCAGGGAGGATTCCAGAGAGACGCCACAATGAAGATCCTTGACAAATTCTCTCAATGGTTACCGGATATGAACATGGAATTCAATGTACACGACGAACCACGAGTGGTAATTCCGCATGAGGAGTTGCACATGATGATCACTGAAGGCTATGCAGCTCATGCTCGGCTGAATCGTAACCCATCTTTGTTAAATCAATTCTCGCCCGGCGATGTACATGACCCTATCCCACCAGTGCCGGTGTCCACGACCCGATTCAACGACATCGAGCGCCAAGAGACCTGGCTCTACTCGCGGCTTTCATGTCCACTTGACTCACCCGCTCGGGCGCTGGATAGTAACGCGCCGGATAACTCAAGTGCTTATGCAGTGGGTCCTTTGGGCTTTGTGTTCAACCAGACTGCCGCTAGTGATATGTGCAACAGCCCGTCCCTACGACATCGACTAGGAGTCTTTGACCACCCAAACTCTTTCAAAGTGACGAACGAGTTGATCCCGATGTTTTCTATGTCCCGTCCGTCTTCATTCCAGGATATTGCAGTTCCCTCGCCGTATTATTATGAAGGCATGTCGCGGTTCGATGCAGAAACCTCGGTTGAATGGGAAAACAAGATACACCAGCTATACTGGCGTGGAAAAACTACCGGAGGACATAGTCGGAACGGCACCTGGCATAACCTACAACGTCAGCGTATCATCGGAAACCTGACCCATCCACAATCGCCCCACTATCTCATGCAGTCAAAGGGCGATTCGAGATGCACGGCGGGCCGCAGTGATGGATGGGAGGTCCAAGTGGCAAACCGATCCCGGATCGAGGGATACTTCAATACCCATTTCATGGAGATCGTCGATTGTGACGAGGACTGTCGAGACGAGCAAGTGTTTTTCGACGATCTTGCGGAGCCAGATCCTGCAAGTGAGGCCTGGAAATACCGGTATCTATTAGATATGGATGGTCATGCCTACAGCGGGAGGTTCTACGCCTTCATGCGTAGCAAGAGTGTTCCATTCAAGTTGACCTTCTTTCGGGAGTGGCATGAGGACATTTTGGTCCCATGGGTCCACTACGTTCCCATTAACAAAGACGGCAATGAGATTCCCGAATTGATCCGATTTTTCGAGGAAGATCCTGCTGGTCAGCAGATTGCTCGATCCATCGGTGAAGAGGGCCAATCTTGGGCGGTCAAAACAATCCGAAATGATGATATCGACGTTTACATGTTTCGACTTTTCTTGGAGTAAGTTTGTTGGAGTGCCTGTTCAGTGTTGACTCTGCTAATGTAAACTTGCAGGTACGCCCGGGTGCAAGATGACCAGAGAGAGAATCTGGGATTGAAATTATAGAAGTCCTGTAGACGGTTAAGTCTATCGAATATAGTCAGTTTTCTGACAAAATCCCTACGACAGCGGTGGATTGACACTCGAGCCAATGCGCGTCCTATGCACAACAGAGCCGCTGCATCCCATACATCGCCATACAACGTGCGCACATTCCTATTGCCTGCAGTCTGAATAGGACCTTTCATGGAGTCAATGTCTATCAGTCTCCGCTTCTACTAGGAAAGCTACAGCATGGTCTGTGGTCGTACATCGAATGACCCAGTTCGACACTTCACGGGGTTACGGTGTGCTCGAGGACTCTAGTGGGGTTCAATCGAGAGCTGATTTATGTGAAAGTGATGCTTGGTACCAAAAAGGTTGAATGGTTGCGGAAGGAACAGTCTACAGTGGTTGGTTTTTTTCTTCTCCAGACTTCGATTCAAGCTGAATGGGAGAATGCCTATATTGCCACAGGTTGGTCTGCAGTTGCCCCTGCTGTGGTTGCTTAGTCTATACGACTCGACGGGATTTATTGAGTTAATTTTTCAGATGCATCTCTCTCAAGTTCTACCCTACAATCAGAGTATCAAAGTCAGATGGAGATACCCTTTTAGCTGTCGAAGATGTGTGATGCGTTTATACCATTTTGATGGCGGTTTGATGCATTCGATTTTCTTAGGGATGTGTGGCAGTTGATTGCGGTGTTGATGCGGTGTGAATTCTCACGCAAGCGTATGTAGTTGAGAGCGTAGATGCAGTTGGTTGTATGGATTGGTCATTGTTATCATACAGGCCCTCATCGAGTGAGTTGTCCCAACAAACGCCGGAGCAAATAAGGATAAAACACGTCACATAGAGATAGAGATCACTATAGGTCCATGGGTGGAGAAAGTACAGTCTGTACAAATAAACTTGCCTTGGTCAACGCCAATTCCCCCAAAGAGATAACGGAAAGTGACAGAGAGTAAAAGTAGAAATAAGAAAAGCACTAGAGGGAAAGACCAGCTTCGCCATTCAGGGTCAGGCCCAAAGAGTTTATGAAGCGGCCGCCCACTCAACAACCTCCAGAGCACACATGACAAGGACTAGGGTCGAGGGTAGGATCCTAGAAAGAGAAGCCATGTTAGCGATGATCAATGCTTGAAATTGACGATCCGGGGGGGTGGGGAGGGCTTACCAGACAACATAACTCTGGAACAAGAGTTTCGACATAGCGCCCACATAGACATTGTTGATCTGACAGATCTGCGCCAACTGCAATGCTGACGGCGCACCGGTAAGCAGGAAGCAGACAATAATGAATATCGGATCATCAAGAATACTAATTGGCACAAACTTGGCCATGAGCGCCAAGATTGGAGCCATGATGATAGTGGGAAGAAGCATACGCGCAACCAGTGAAGCGATGATGAGCTTACGTTCGTCGCGGGGATGTTCCACGTCCGCCAGCGCCTCTTCGGGGAGAGTATTACGCGCGAGGTTTGCGCCGAGCACAACCAGGATAAGCGGAACGGCAACCTGTCCGTTCGACTCGATTGCACGGGTGACTGAGTTGCGGACAAACGTGCCGTCGTCGAAGAAGAGGCGCTGAAGCACCGGGGCGGAAGCGACGACAATGGACACTAGCATTGCCCACAGGGGTGGGTTCATGAAGTCCCATAAGCCATTGAGGAAGCGACGTAGTCCAAGAGTGGTTGATGCGAGGCCTTTTTGAACCGTTGATGGGAGGTGCGCGTGGAGGGCATTGGTTTTCTTCTCTCGCCACAGGCTTAAGCAGTCACGCAATTTGCGCAGAGAGGCTTTGCATCGCTGGAAGCGCGTTTTTTCGGATTCTTGAGCTTCGCGCGCGGTAATTTCGACATCCGGGAACTGGAGAATATCACCTTGGGAGCTTTGGCGGGGAAGGAAGGGGCCGGTGGGCGGCGGTCCAATTACTGACGGTGTATCTTCTGAGTCGAGCTCATCTGAGTGGGTGGTAGACAGCTTCGAGTAGGAATAAGTTCGCGTTGACACTGGTGTTTGGTCGCCGGATGGGAACTGACGGTCGGGGTGTGTTGCGTGGTGGGCATGTAGATCGTCCGAACTGCGTGTTCGGACGAGCGGTTCGTCCGGGTCTGTCTGTTCCGGGTTGTCGCTGTACCGCGCCTGGCCCTGCTCGATGATCGATTGGCCACTCTCGTCGCGCTCCGTCTGCTCGAGATATCGATCCTTAGGCGCTAAAAGAATGTGATATCCCCAGCTCCAGCGCACAAGTTGACCTAGCTGCTGGAAGATAAGCAGGTACAGAATTCCACGTGCGGCGACTTCGTCATCGTTATCATTTGGGAGCCGGTCCCAGTGGAGGCCTTTGAGGGTCTGCGAGAGCGAAATGACGAGAGAGATCGGGAGTGAGTTGGAATTTCCAAACACCTGTGGGGAAGGGGTCGTTAGAATCAGATATTTCGACCCTCACAAATGGCAGGACCCACTACATACCGCCATGGCAGCTACAAAATTTGACTGCCGCTTCTTGAAGCGACAACATTTTGCGACAACGAAGGAACATAAGTATGAGACGAAAGTCTGGACAATAAAAATAACCGGGATGATAGCCAGATCCGTCAGCTTCTCAGCAGTTAGTTGTGAGCCCAGCTTGGTAAAAACTGTAGGAGTTAGCTATGTCACAGAAATATCCCATTGTGAGAGCAACAGAGGAGTCCATACTGAGGCAGGGGGTGAACAGAGTCACATTGAGGTTTGCGACGAGCTTCTGAGCATCGGCATCAAACATGCCCTGACGGGCGACAATATACCCAGGTAAGCTGACACAGACGACTTCCAGCACTGCTGAAAAGACGAGCAGCACTAATTGAAAAAATGGGGGATGGCTTTCATGGGCGCTGATGAAGAAGCGGTTGCTCATTGGGGCCTGAGCAATAGCAATAGCATTGACATTTTGAAATGATCGGGGTGAGTTAAAAATGGCCATCAGTCAAGCAAGTATTGTTAGATGGAAACAGGATGTGAAGAAGTTGAAAGGAAGAGAAGTTGCCTTGTTTTTAGATGTGAAGGCTTGGCACCATCAATCTCGCCCACGTTGATACCTTGATGGCTCTGTGGTGGACATTGCGTTTTATCTTAACACTGCATCCACTACGTTGAATTAGGGTGTAATTGGAGCTATGCTTGTAAATCAAATGTCATTTCAACTTTCGGCTTTCTTCGTTTATGACATTTTACAATGTCTCCCAATACTTCCACAACATAGGTGAAAATGCTGTAGAAACCTGCCTCAATGACGCATTCGGGAGGCGATAGCACCACGCCACAACCTGGTCTGTGCTGATTGGATTAGGAAACATGTGCAAGATAGTTAACTATCTACTTCAGTGAGATGGAGATCAAAGGCCAAAAAAAAAATAAGCAAAATGTGATTAAACTAAATGCTCAAGATACCGAGAGCAAAGGACTGTGGTATAATACAAGAACAGACCTACAAAAATCATCTAGGCCAAAATATCTCCCAACAAACCGCTGTCGGCTGTGCACCGGGGCTGTGCAACATTGTACACGTTATGCCTCGCTCACAAAGCCCAATTTCTCGCCTACTTTGATACGCTGGCCCTTTTGAATACTCCAAGTCCAACCATCACTGGGAGCATCTTCCGGCCAGCCGGCATCGACGGACTTGCGAGTTCCAAGAGGAGCCTCAAACACAAGTACGATCGAACTACCAAGCTGGAATCCACCCATCTCCTCTCCACGTTGCAGAGGATGTCCGTTAAGTGTCTGGCTGGCATGGCGGTAAGTCGCCTCAACAAAGCCAGGATACTGCTCACCGCGCTTGGCAGCCAAGGCTGCGGCCAAGTCTGCAGCGGTATCGGTCAACAGGCTGTTCGTGCGCAATTCCGAGTCAAAGTTGATTTTAATGGAGCCTACATTGGTAGCTCCGACCGGCGTGTAACTGAAGAAACCCCACCGCCATCGGCCGAGGAGTGCAACTCGCTCGTTGAGGGTAAATAGACCGGGTAGATGTCTTTGCAAGTATGGTGAAACCGAGTATAACTCACCAGCAAAGTGGCGGCGGCTCTCGACCACCCAGGGAGCGGGGGAGTGGAAACGGTGGTAATCGCCGGGTGCTAGGTAGATCACAACGTAGAACAAGGCATGGTTGGCTGTGGTTTTGGGTGCGTACCATGGTGTTCCATCGCCACGAGCCAGGTCCTCTTGCACCTGGATTTCAGAGGTTGCTTTGGATGCGGTTGAAGCATCCAATGAAGCACGTCGTTGGGGGGCACCATCGTCTCCCAAAAGAAGGCTCGGGAGAGTGTATGAAATCCCGTTCATGCGCGCAAACTCTTCATGCGCAGCCATGTTCTCGACATCCTTTTGGGTTTCTTTTCGGCCCTGGTCTGTGAGCCGCTTACTGTGGTCGGCGTGCGCAGGCGTGGCTGATCCAAGAAGAGCATCCAGACTGTAGGTCATTCCCTTGACTTGTTCAACCTCGCCTCGTTCAATCATTCCAAATTGTAAGATTCGGCCGTCGGAGGGAGCCAGAAGGGCACGAGGGTCGGGGTCCAATGGTCGAACGCCAGGCTTCAGCTTACGGTAGAAGAATGCCGCCAAATTCGGGTAGGTGTGCAGGTCGGGCTCGGCGACCTCCTCGAGGTTGACGCCAAAGGCCCAAGAATAGAGTTTGAATCCAGGAACGCGGAGGTAGTAAGGAAGTTCAATTTCATTGAAGCGACCCCATAGACGCGATATGGCCTTCAGGGGCAGAGTGGACATGATCTGAATATGCCATGGGCCTGACAGGCTGATCCTCGGACGAGGAGGTGGCCGTTTTCCATCTTCCCATTCATCGCCGGCTGCATCGCGAGCAAGCCGATCCCGTTCCGCACGTTGTGACTTGTAGAAGGACAGCAACCCTAGCAAGCCGATTCCGAGTCCGACTGGGATGGGATACCATTCGACTTTGGTATTACGCAGAGCGAAACCTAGCCGTGACCCGAATCCTCCTCTATTGTTTTCAGGGTTATTGTCTTTGTTATATTGTCTCCATGATTTAGATGAAAAATGCCGGAGGCTGGCTTTGTGGCGGGCCGTGGCCCGGAACGAAAGAACCTCCATCGACGCAGCCCCGATCCGAGGGGCAACGGGAGGGCAGTGAAGGAGAGGCGAGGAAGTAAAAAGGCGCTTGGCCATAATGTTTAATCCATCTGCCTGAAGCGCTAAAATCACCCCTAAGCCCAGAGCGTTTTTTTTTCCCGAGAATGGAGAAACATGTTGTTACCGATTGACCGCCCGGCAAAATTGCACGTGGAGAGCCAGTGGACGGACTACTTTTCTCTCTACTTTGTATATCCAAATACATTTCATGTTATAAATGAGCGATTCTACAATTCTGACTCTTTACATCTGCTCTCCTCTTGCATCGTGCTTTCCACTTGCTTCCTAGCTGCTATAGAGTCTCGCAGAGGACACTACAACATCGACATCGCTTATCGATCGATTGATGCCAGATATCAGTAACTAGATCAGCTCCATAGGGGCTTTTTTAGCTTGCGAACAACAACTGTTTTGACGCAATGGCGACAGGGTTATCATCCCAGCCAATGGTAGAGGGAGACGCATCGAGCACAATCACGCTTCATATACTTTGCCAGTCTCTACCCCCTCCAAGCCGGTTTACACTCAAGAACGTTCCACTCTCCTCCACAATCGCACAGCTCAAGGGCCGGATCGAACAGACCTTTCCGAATAATCCTCAAGCATCACACCAGAGACTTATCTATCGAGGGAAACCTCTCACTGTTGATGATGCAACACTCAGCGCAGTAGTCTCGTCTATGGAGGTGAGTAGCTTGTCACCAATTCATCCCGTTTGACATTTTGTCCTGACTGAATGGCATTTGATTTGACAGGAAGGAATTGACAGTATGCATCTTGTGCTACCACCTGAGCCAACACACTCAGAAGCACCTCCTGCTCCTGAGATGTCGCAACATTCGCCTCTCGGGAATTCTGCTCAAGCTTCTACGTCTTCTTCCACCGGGCTTGATGGCCCCAATCCAGATATTTCGGTTACTACAGACAGCATTTCCTCATACTCGAGCACCCTGAGGCAAACGGATGCCACTCCAGGTTCTCCAAACGTCACATTCAATCAATACGTCAACGGCTCTTCACTTAACCCATACCCATCAACCACAAACGCACCAGAGGCCCACAGTGCAGAATTATCTCAGCATATTCGCACTTTACGAGGTCAAACTGAGGATATTGAGAGGGAACTGGACAGACGTATCTTGCCTTCTATGCAGGATATCATTCGTATACGGAACCAGCTTCTTGAAATCCAAGATGCACGGCCTACGGGACAACTTCCTCTACCCGGTGTTGCAGAACTGGTTGCCCGTATTCTTGACGCTCAACAACGCGCCCGTTTAACAGAATACGTGCAGCATAGGCATTTGCAGACAAGCATTTTATCCCAAAACTCGCTCCAACCAGGTCCCACTCAGGTCTTCATGCTGTCCTCACCAATAGGAGACTTTTACAGTGGTCTCATGGGACAAAATCACTTGATAACCCGACCCACAATGCAACAGGCGGTTTTGCCCAATACAGCCCCCGCTAACGAACCCGGTGCACCTCAGCCACCCCGAGTACCTCAAGCACCCCGGCCACCCAACCCAAACGCAGCGGTAGTCCAGAACGCCCTGCGCCAAGCACTGCTCAACCAACAGCGCCGAGGCAATAATGTCGAGCACGCCGGTCTGGCACGACACATCCGCCGCATCTGGCTGTTCACCCGTCTGTGGCTCTTCTGCTACCTCACTAGTGCCCCTGGCACCTGGAGGCGTTACATCTTCGTCAGCATTGCCTTGCTGGTTACATTATTTTCTGAGACCAATATTCCGCGGCAGTTTGCGACAACAATTATCAGTCCCGTCCAACGCCATCTCGAGAGCCTCACTCATGTTGGTGGACCGGCAGATCGAGCCACTCAGCTTGGAGCAGATGACGCTGCCGCGGAGTTCAATATTTGGGACCAGATACGCCGCGCGGAGCGAGCCCTCGTTTTTCTTTTTGCAAGTCTGGTTCCCGGTCTCGGTGAGAGGCACGTCCAGGCTCGCACTGCGGCAGATCAAGCTTTCTTGGCTCAGCAGGAGCGGAGGGCGCGGGAAAGTCAGGAGCAGGAGCAGGCACGGGAGCGAGAGCGCCAGGAACAGGAGCAGGAACAGGAACGGGCTCAAGCTGGTGTGGCGGAGGGCGCGGGGAATGCAGGTGCCGAACAAGAGTAGGTATCTGCCGTGCGTGCATAGTCTGGACAGAGTCCAGCAGAGAACTGATGTATGCCGGGAGGTACATTTGCCATTCATATCCATATCTTCATTAGCGGTAGCGTCTTTCTTCTAGTCTCTGTGCAATTGAAATCAATGTGGGCCAAAGTGATACCCCTAACAATTTCCTCCTTCAAATTGATTTAGTTAGGCGATTATACTCTTGTTCAAGTCAACTGTTCATGTCGCTTTGGACTAGATGCCCCTATAATGTACATGGTATGGAAATCTAGGCAGCTAGCAATAAACTTTGTTCTTATGCAACAATGTCACTCTCTTATACCGCTAGCACGAGCGAGTTGAGAATGGGAGCCATCCTAGGCATCGGTTGAGCATTGCAGTAATAGAGCATGACAGCCCAACCCGTGATAGGTCAACTTTCCGGTTCGCAGTCATAGTTCCAGAGTCACCGATAATTGATGATCTCAGAAAGATGCAATGATGTCCTCGTTTTATTCATCGCATACCATTGCCCTGGTAAATTGCGTGAATCATCAACTCACAACTTCGTAACACCTGCACTCGCAGGTAGCTCGGAAGGTGGAGCCATGGGACCCGTATTAAAGGATTCTTCGCCATCAAAGTGCCTACCAAAGTCTACGTCAATATCTTCTCTCGACACCAAAAAGAAAAGGGGAAAAAAAAATCCACTCACCAACCACGCTCAGCACCACTGCTCAAAAAGCTACAATCCCCATTCGCAACGCAATCCCATCCACCTCCAACACCGCGCCCATTCCTCCACTGCGGCGGGGTTCTCGGCGCACGAATGAACGTCGTACCCTCAGCAAGCGGATATTCACTCGATCCTTCTTCCGTATCACCGCTCCGCCCAACGCTAGCAGTAGAAGAAGCCCCCCTCCTCTTGAAAGTACTCAACCCAGCTGTGAAAACATCAAAGTCCTCTTCTGAACTATGATCCGGCATATGTCCCGTGAGAGCCCGTCCCATGGCAATAAGCGGCGCAGCATGCGCGCAGATTAGCACGGATTTGCTGGTTCTTTGGTCTGATGGTAGCTCTGCTTCCAGGGCGGAGACTTCTGCGTCGATGTCGGCGATTATGCCTTCCAGGGCTGTTGCTACGCGGTTGTGGAGCTGCGTGATTGTCTCGCCGCGTCTTGAAGGGATAAGTAGGGCTTTGTAGGTTTGACTAGCTTCTGGGAGGAGGGTTGGGAAGTGGGTGGACATTAGTTGAAGGGTTGGGTGTGCCGGGTGGTCGAAGAAATCTGTTGCACCGAACCATTCTCTAGACTCCAATTAGCTTTCCTGGTGATATGGTGCCTGTAAAATGCTGTGTTTGTACAGTACGGGAAAGCGAAACGGTTGGGTTGATTAAGTAGGGCAGAAGGAAGTATAAGTAGAAAGACAGGGCATGCTACGTACCCTAACCCATTTTCAATTCGTACATCAAAATTCGCATGCCGATCAATTGACCCAATCCGGCCATCATGCTGGCTCTTTCCAGACTCGACCGATATTCTCTTGAGCTCTTCGACAGACGGCTGGATTGTTTGAAGGCAGCGGTAGAAGGGACTCGAGTAGACACGGAACGGCTTAGGGTAGAACTGGGGGCTGACAATGTGCTCCGCCAGCTCATGTGACTGGTGTACGCCGTGCGAGGTCAGCGCAGGGTCTGCTGGGTTTCCTGTTGGCGTTGGGAATTGGGACTTGTATGTGCCCGTCCGAAAGTCAATGGTCCAGTTGAGGCGGTGCTGTCATAGTCAGGTCTTTAAGCCCGCGGTGATAGTTTTATAGAGTGCATACCCCATGACGGGTCAGATATATGGTGTCCAAAGGCATAGCGTATGGATACTTGAGTTCAACTATGTCCTGGTACTGGCCTTGCTGTTGTTGCGGGGAATCGGCAGAATTCACGTATGCCGAGGGCGGTGAAGTTTTCCTCAAGCCTACGACATTTATGCCTAGTGAGAGAATGAATGGTACAAGCTTTGCAGACCGGAATCTTCTAGCATTGATATACGAGCGAACCCTACTCTGCAAACCATCAAAAGTGCTGAACAGAAGATTTTTGTTCACAGCTACAAATTCCAGATTACATTCCAGGGCCCAGCCCAGTAAAACCCAACGCTATGCAAAACCAGTCAAAGCAAGAACTTTTTCTCAATTCTTTTTAGGACGATTCCATCTAGTAGAAGAAGCCGAGGAGCTTGCCAGCAACGTGCTTGCGGCGAGCCTCCTCGTGGTCCATGATACCGGCGGAGGTGGTCAGGACAACGTAACCGAACTGACGGGAGGGAAGGAGCTGGGTAGCCCACTTCTCGAGGTCACGGAGCTGGACGGGGTAGCGGGGGTTGATGACACCACACTTGTTGAGACTGGAGGTAAGAAAGTCAGGTTGATGTTCCATGGAGACTGATTAACATGATTGTGAATACGTACCGGCCGTTGAGCTGGATGACAATCTTGCCGGAGCGGTGGTCATCGACCTCCTCGAACTCGCCAATGTAGCCTGGAAGAGAAAAGAGTCAGCGTGTTGCGAAGATTTAAAAGTCGTCAAATACTGAAAAAGCCATAACAGCGCTTTGGAAACGTGTAAGATCTTCGCGAATTGATATATCGGACACTTAAAAGGCAGACGTCGTGGGTTATTTGAGACCGGCCGCCTAGTTATCAGCCCGAATGGGTGGGACAAATATGCTCAAAACAGGGAGTAGAAACAGCAATGACAATACGAGACGCAACAAAAAGTCAATCAAAAGGTAGACAACAGTTCAAAATTCACGTACCGTGCTTCTGCATGACAGCAAGGAACTTGACGATGACCTTGGAGGAAGGACGGATGAGGACCTGGCGCTTGCCAGCCTTCTCGGCGTTGTTCATGGCGTTAAGCGCATCGTTGAGGACGGAGGTCTTGACCATTTTGGCGGTTTTAGTAGAATCGAGATTCCCAAATCGTAACGTTTAAAAGTAAAGATTATGAGGTATCTGTTCGACGAAGGCGGTTCAAGTCAGCCACCACTAGTCTTCGAGCGCAAAGAGTGCCCCTTTTTTGCATTGCAAAGGAGTTCTTCAGCCCGTGCCGAGTTGGGAGATGCGTATCATCTTGGCTTCCTGGATCACAGTTCCAGAGAATCATCTATAATTCTCACATGGAAGCAATCTAGACAAGATGATTGCATCCCCAGACTAGCTGAGAGGCTGTTGTTGGGGAAGGGCATAGCACATACCTCGAGAGATGGTCGTCGATGGATGAAGCGGAAGAAATCGATGATCTGTCAAAGTTTGCTTTTCGGGTGGTGCGCGGGTAGGGTTGAGGCGCGCTGCAGCCCTTATCGCAAGTGTCACGTGGTAATGATCTCCGCAGATTGGCCTTGCAAGGCATCACTGTCTTCTACAACAGTCTACCCTATAAAGATTCACCACCTCCACAGTGGCGGTACTAGCTTATAAATTAGCATAGTATTTAATATGGTATTTTACAAATTGATACTCCATTATTCTTTTAAAAAACAGAGTTCTCAACCTTTCAACTCTCCATCT